TGCAGAAGCTGTGGTGGGGGCTGCCCTGTCTCCTCCTGCCTCCTGCCTCCTGCCTCCTGCCTCCAGTGGGTGTTGGATTTGGGAATGACTTCTTCCGTGAGAGTCACCACTGCTCTTGGGTTTCTTTTAGCCGAAAGGCTAGACCTAGAGTTGGATCACTTTTATCTTTCCAGTGAAATAAATGGTTTTTCAACTTAAAAAAAAAAAAAAGATTATATAAAATAGACAAACTCTTAGCCAATCTTATCACAAAACTGGAATGAAAAGACTCAAATTCTTATCATTAAGAACAAAAAGGGTAAAATCACAACTGATCCTACAGAAATCCAGGTTATCAATTCTTACTTTCAGAACCTATAAGATAGAAAACACAGAAGAAATAGACAGATTCCTAGATATACAGGAATTATCAGAGCAGAGTCTACAAATACTACATATCCCAGTATCCATCACTGAAAATTAAAGACCTACCAACAAAGAAAAGCCGAAGTCCTGACAGATTCACTGCTGAATTCTATAAGAAATTTAGAGAATATCTAATGTCACTACCTCCCAAACTCTTTAATGAAATTGAAAGGGAAGCAACACTCCCAAACTCATTCCTGAAAACAAGTATTACTGATACCAAAACTATTGGAGGATCCAATCAAAAAAGAACTGCAGGTCAATCTCCCTAATGAACACAGATTTTTAACCAATTTTAGTAGCATAGCTGGATACAAAATCAACATTCAAAAATCAATAGTCTTCCTGTATACAAATAACAAAATCACTGAGAGAGAAATTAGGGAAATAATACCTTTGACAAAGGGGTAAACAGGTTTATGGGAAGAAAAAGTCTCTTTAATAAATGGCGCAGGAAAAACTGGCTTTCTACATGCTGAAAACTAAAACTAGACCCACATGTATCCCTCTGCACTAAACTACATCAAAATGGATCAAAGATCTAAACATTAAAATAGAAATGCTAAGGGTCAGGGATATAGCTCCATGGCACAATGCCTTCCAGGCAATTGCAAGGTCCTGAGTTTGATTCCTGGTACCAAAAAAAAAAACAAATACTAAATCTGTTGGACAAGATAATATGTAGAAAAAAAAAAAAAAGATAATATGTAGAACTAAAGACATGGGTGTCGGCAGAGAATTCATGAAGAAAACTTCCACTGCACAGGAAATACTGCAAACAAAGGAAGGCAGGCAGGCAGGCAGGCGGGCAGGCAACTAGAATCTCATTAGAAAGCTTTTTCACAGCAAAAATTCAACAGAATCAAGAGAGAACGCACAGAGAGAAAAATGCTTGTTCACCTTCCTCAGACAAAGGACTAATATCCAGAAATAAATAAATATATA